AAAAGGAGCTCGTTTGCCTAGTAGCAAACGTTTTTGCTAACTGAGCAGAAGACCGTGGGTTCAATCCCAAGCTCCTTCGCGTTATACGATCGTTAGGACATCAATTCAGCTTATCGTTTACCAAAATGAACCCTGCTGCAAACCCAACCCTCTTACCCAACATACCTGTGATTCCTCGTGGAAGTGCAGAGGACTCCTCGGCTTCCATCAAAGCGAGTGTCACGTCAACACATTCCTACCCATTCCTTTCTTGACCTGCGTTCAGGCGCGGCTGGCGCTGGTATTGTCTAATTCGAGATCACCAGTTTTTACACATTGAGGATGATTGCTAGTTCCAAGCATCGTTTATTGGTTCTCTGTGTAATTACAGCTGGTCTGGCAATAACAGAGTAGCAACCGTGGGCGGTCAATCAAGCTCATGCTCATGCTCAAGGAGAGGGAAGATATGAGATGGATAATATCTAGGTATAGGTCATACTTGAATAATTAATAATGTTTATTTTTTACATTTGATCGAAAAGTGGTATTGAACAAAGTTGTAGCTGGGAAAATTTCCTACAAGCACAGCTATCATTATTAAAAGCATAGTAAAATTATGGATTTTGAGATAGATATGAACAAAAACTTTGGTTTTCCTTCAAATGGTTTGTGCTAAGTCAGTTTCTAATTAAATGAGTTCAAATTTTCGGTGGCCAACCACTACCCAACTTGGAATCATTTGTAAATTGTGGAGCGGAAGTTTCAAATTTTGCATCAGTCTACTGCACACCCCTAGTGGTGCATAGAGCCAAAGTGAAAGACTTCCATCCTGGGAGGCTGCTCGTTTTTGCCTTGACCTGTTGTCTTCCTGTATTTCCTTGTTGAGGCTCCGTTGCTATGAGGCTATGGGGGTCTGCCTCTGCTGAGTTGTTCTGCCTGATTCCACTCCATCACTTCGTGGTGTGTGGCCGACCCACGTCCACTTGCGTTCTCGAATTTCTGTTGATTTCGGCTTCTGATTACATCGATATCCAGTTGTGAGGCCACCAGGCATGAATTATATACCGCAAGCATCTGTTGATGAAGACCTGCAACTTTTGAGTGTTATCCGCTAACATACACCACGTCTCGCTGGCGTTAAAATGCACAGATCTAACGTTTGAATTGAAAATTCGGATTTGGTGCGTTGAGTTATCTGGTTGGATGTCCATAAATTTCGTAATCTCTCCAAAGTATGTCGCTCTTACCAACTCTCCACTGGTGTCAAATTCGCCCTAAATTACTCTTATAAGCTCCATCGAGGATAATACGCCAATCTCGAATTACCCTCGATTTTTCTAAGCGCCATGATGTACTATGCTCAATTTTAATCTCTATATATCTTTAATACGCAGAATTCGGCGATTTTCACAGATAGATGGGATGACGTTGTAATGGTAACACCGTATGAAAAAATATTCGCATTAGAGAAGAGTATTTTTTACACTAATATGTTTACACTAATATGTTAAATGAATAGTTCAACTAGGCTTCAAGCATGAAGCCTGCAACAGATTGTTTTTTTTTTGAAAAATATGTCCAATGAATTGATTTTTAAGCGGGTTGCCCATTGCCCCATTGGTGAAATTGGCTCACTTTCCCCTACATGTATATCACGTACATGTGCATCCCTATAGCTCAAAATCCTGACCGTCTACAAAGATTCCGTCTATGGTAAAGTTCTTCAGGGGGGCCAATGCCTTATGTATGGTCAGTTCCAGATAGTTCGGAATTCCTTCCCAAACTCAGACCATCTAGAAATCTGCTGTCTTCGGCAAAGTTATTCGAGAAATCAAGACATTCCAGATGGTGGAACCGCAGAGCGTATAATTCTTTGCACTATTGTTTTCAAAATGTGGCGTTAGTGAACATGTTGTATCCAAGATGCTTTGATGGTGTGAAGCGCATCCAGAAGCATCGCTTGATGAACAAAATTGTTCTCCCACTTTTCGATACACTAATTAATATTTCACACATCCACTTCTGTTCTGTGCTGTCTATCTTAACTCTCTGTTAGTGGACAATTCTAGATAGAGCTGGAATTAGGGCGTAACAGCTTTTGTAAACAATGACTTCTTTCGATGATCTCTAGAAAGTTAAGGCTCGCCAACGCAAATCAACCACACCATCGGGTAGGGAAAGACAAAGGTCCTATTGGTTTGCGTAGGCGTGCCTTGAGTGCCTAGAAATCATCGATAGAAGTCATTATTTACAAAGGCTGTTACGCTCTAATTCCGGCTCTACCTAGAATTTAGTTGAACATTCTCTTACTGCATGACCCCATTGTGGCAGTGAACTTCTTTAACGGCATGGGAAGACGAGCGGAAACCGAATATCGATGTCCAATGTCATTTTGGAATTCAAGATGGTGACTTATGATTTCCGAAAAAACTACTAGATACCCTACAAGAATCTACACACTTAATTTTGTTTGCCAACATTTCAACAGTCGAGTAGTTCTGCAATTTATTTTGCTGAGATTCAGCAAAACAATTGTCGAGACTCAGCTAACAAATTAGATTTTTGCAGAGATATCAACAAAAGTAAATGCCGAGACAATCAGCTGTTGGAGATTTTATCGAGCTAGATTGAGTGTGCACACACTTAATTTTTTTCGCAGAGCTTGTCAAAAAAGATTGCTGAGAATCCAATAGCCGAACCTTCGGCAAGCATCTCGGTAAAACCTTCAATTGCCATGAGATTGGCAAAGCAAAATTTATCACAGTTGAAATTTTTTGCCAAGCCTTCGGAAAAAATGTTTACCGTGTATCGGCAATTTTTTTGTGACTACCGGCAGTTATTAACTGCATATTTTTTTTAACTTTATTATGCTCAAGATTTTAAAGAGTAACACAATTTTACAAGCTGTGATATCGCAGCTCGGAATATCGAGGTAACGAAACTCAGCATCTGCAAATCTCACCAAACTGTGAGATTGAGTTTAAGGGAAATCTCACCGCTCCGAAAAAATAATTACGTTTTGATTTTTCTAAAAATATTGGAAAAAGGTATCAAAAATCTAAGAACATCACATTTTTTCTAATTTTTCAAAGTAAATTCACGTGCAAAAACAATTTTTACAAGTCATTATGACGTAAAGTTGGACTCAAAAAACCACAAAACATCGACTTTTATGTTTTGCTGAGAGTGCATTTTTTTCATGATGAGATAGAAAAAATTATGTTTACATGTAATTATTGACAAAAATCTAAGGAAGAAACTGATTTTCTTGGATTTTTGATAATTTTTCTCAATATTTTTAGAAAAGTATAAAGGTACCGAAAATATTTTTTATTTTCGGGCCGGTAAACTTCCCCTTAATGGTTTTTGCTTTACACCCGAACGTAACCGAAACTTCCATAACGACTGGCAGCAGTCACTTCGTGTCTGCCATCGGTGAACAGTAAGAAGAGATAGCAAACTATTCTTTCTCTTTCTAAGAGAACGAATCATTTTTGTGTCTAGTCAACTCTCCGCTTGATTTGTGCACGTTGTGAACAGTCTCGCAATATCGAAGGAGCTTGTAAAATCAATATCAAGCATGATATTTTGTTCAAATATCACGCGTGATATTGAGAGCGTATGAGAGCGGAAAAATATAATTTGATTGGTGATTTTGCCAACACTGTTCTTTCTATCTACTAAGCGTGCGTGCATCTCATAGCAGCAAAGCGATTTTATCCTGGACCTTAGATAAAGACGCCCCCCCTGAATAAACAGTCACACATTGTTGAGATACTGATAACAATCTCACACACTTGATTCCAAATCCGTCATACGAGTTTCAATTGTGTCCCAAACACATTTAAACGTCATTGGATTCACTTCGTCATACGTTTGAAGGCAGAAAAAATAGATTCGGTAGAAGGGTGACTTTTGGTTTTCAGAAGAATAGAATTAAATATTCATATTTTGTGTTCCTATCGACTTTGTTTTGTAGCTTTTAATATACTTTGACCACGACTATGAAATGAATGTCAACGTCAGGCCATTTTCGCCATTCTTGCATTCGACATATTTTTTAGTTTGAACTTCGTCGAAAATCTCGCTTTTCTTAACAAAGTGACATGTCAAGCGTACAGCCATAAAAACCCAGAAAATATTTATACTATTCTGCTTCTGAGATAGTTATACCGTGAATACACTTGTATGAGAAACTATGAACATGAGCATTGTAAATTATGAGCACATCCCCTAGCAGCACACTTGGTACTGAACAATTGTGGTTACTTGTGTGCAAATTATTCCAGTCACAATCAAGATGCAGCAACTTATTTCGATGGAAGTGTATCGTTTTTGCATAGTTGTTGTATAGTGCTCATAATTATTATACAAATAATGCTCACGCTCATCGCTTGTCATCCAAGTGTATCCGCGGCATTAGTATTTTTCCATGAAATGTGCATTGTTATTCATCGTATATTATCGCTTCGCCCGGTGATGATAAATCTACTGTAATCACCCTAAGATGAGCGCTCTTTGTCTAACAGACTCTCTTATCTCGGCTCTCGGCCACGGCGATCTGCGTTTGTTGACAGTCGCAAAACAACGTGATAAACTACACGTGCCCAAAGTTTGTAATTTTCCAAGGATACATTCGTAAGTATAGATTATAGCATCTTTGTACATGAATAACAAATCTTATAAACCGATTGTAAAGTACAGGTAGTCAACAATGGATACCTCATTTTTTCCAAAAAATCACATGGGACTGTTATGCGTTTATGGGTATTCACCTTTATCAACCCATTTCAACCTATTTCATGTGGTTGATTGCACCATTTTTGATAACTTTAATGTTTGGTACTCATTAAATAATAAATGTTATTAGAATTGCATCCATGTTTCACTTTTTGTTGTGTGCAGTCAGTGTTAACCAGCGCATTACTATAAAGCGAAAACCTAACAAATGTGCTTTTCTGTTTGCCACTACAGTAGAGGTTTTGATAATAGCACCACTCTTTTCTCTCTCTCACATGCAGCAGCAGGCGAGAGCGGTGCTGACGGTCAGCCGCAGCAGCAACAACAACAGCTACTGAGTGTTGCTAACGGTGAGAAGCGTCGTCGCAAGCGTTCCGACATCGTGCGGCCAAATCCGTTCAACTTTGAGAACACCCCCTTCCACGAGTGCCAAGAGCCGTGGAGTTGCGTCATGATAGATTTCCAAATTGCCAGGTACTCCCCGCCGGCGTACGATGTGATGTCCCTGTTGAACACCACCACGACCCGGGCCTTTCGGGCCGTCTACATGGATCGGTTATCAAAATTGTACTACGAGTTTCTGCGCAGTGAGTTGGAGTGGCTCCAAATTGATGTGGATGGGGTTTTTCCCGGGGATCACTACCGGGAATCCTGCGAGGAGTACAAACTGGCCGGCCTGATTGATAGTATTCTGTTTCGGCATCTGACGCTGCTTCCGGCTGACCTGGTGTCGAGCTGCAAGGAATGTCCCGTTCCTGTTTCGTTTGAAAATTTGATGGAAAATTGCATTTCAGATATGGGCATAAAAGCGTGGGACACTTGTGAAAATTATCGATTCATGATGGCGGATCTGCTGTCCGATTTGATTGATACTTATATTCTTGTAAATTGACACCTCCTATCTGCTAGTTTCTAATCGTACAGGCCGTCAACCGATCCCGACCGCTGGAATGCTATTGGACTTTCAACTCTCGCGCTACGCACCACCGGCGTTGGACGTTTTCACTGTGATCTCATTGGGCAGCGTGAGTGAGTTTCGCGCCAAACATCTGACCACTCTGTTAAACGCCTACTACGTCGCACTGAGTGACGAACTCGCCCAGAATGGCTTGAGCATCGCTCAGATTCTTCCTCGCAACGATTTCGACGCGTCCTGTGAGCATTACCATCTGGCTGGGCTGGTTGAAAATTGCCTCTTCAATATGACCATTCTCGTCCCGATGGAAATCGCCAAACCACTCATGGATGGATCCGCACCGTTTGACGATTTCATTCGCGACGAACAAACCAAAGTCCGACTGATCGTCGAATCGTTCGAAATCGATGCCACATTCCGCTATCGCTTCACCGACACTATGTCGGAGATTATCGATAAGTACATTCTTATGTGATTGAATCACCACCACCAATGCGTATTGAATAATTAATTGCCAATGCTTGTTGTAATTATTCTGCAATTATTCCATAGATAATAAAAACACTTGTAATCTGTCACGGCTTTTGCTTATCGAAAGAAATCAGTGCGTTTGTCCTTTTTGAGCAGCATGAATGGGCACCAATTTGCATTCAGCACTCGAGCGGTGAGGATTTATTGGCTTTTCAACCTTGCGTGCGTGTCGTTACAGAGTTCTTGCTAAGCTAGTTTGTTTTTTATCTATGCAGTCATGCGTTTTGTGGACATTGTCAAGGAGTACTTATTTAATTCGACGATCCATGGCGTCAAGTTTATAGCCGATGAGTCTTATCATGCGGCCGAGAGGTGAGGTTACATATTCGATTTTGCATATTCGAAAGGATGTGGTGTTTCGCTGTTAAGGTTGAGAATTTCAAGGCATTCCGACATTCAGAATTGAACTCTAAATCGAAATTCTGTTGAGGTTAATTTTTTTTCCGTCAAGCTATAATACGTATTCTACCTTGACTAAAATGTGTATTTCAATACATTTGCTGAACATCATTTAGTGCGGTTTCTGTTTAAACTTTGGATATGATGATGAAACTTATCTAGAGCTTCGCCACAGACAAACAGACATAACTCTTAGAAGAAAATTCTTCAAAAAATATCGTCAAGTGTATTTTGCATGCGCACTTGCACCATCTATCATCCACATTCCTAAGCATTGTTTTGCAATCGGAGCATCCCTCGTTCATGTAATTTTTTCACTAGTTGCTTTTCCATCGTTCTGTCAACGCGTCAGCTGTGTTGAATAAAATCAAAACAGATGGAAGTCAGTGATGTCAGATTCAGTTGAAAGATTGCCGCAAAAGCTCAACGCAGATGTCGTCACTGCATGATGATGATAATGTTGACAGACTGCATATAAAATTCGTGAGAATTAGCATTAAATCATAATTTTAATCAAGCCTGCGTGAAATCCTTCCAATATAACATTCGAATTGAAGAAGAAAACGTTTTTACGATCAGACTGATGTGCATCTTTGACTTTTCCAGGTGAACTTTCATAGAATATATTCATTTCATTTCACGGCTCCATCAATGCTGCATCGTAAAGGTGATGGTAAACAGAAGTAAATTGCTCAATTACTCAAAATAAAGATGATTTGTCATCTTGTTATCACTTTGAAGACCATTTAGCACCATTTTATAGTATGGTGCGTGTTGAGTAAATCAAGTTCCGGTGCGTTTTCCGTCAAAAATTGTGAGTATCAATATGTTTGCTTAAAAAAGGCAAAAAAGGAACATTTATTGAATATTGGCGTCCTATACAACCAATTCTCTATTACCACTAGCATGATACAACCTTTCCTAAGTAAATTCACTTAATTTCTACTTTGATCTTAGTGAAAATCGCACATATTTACCATCTTCTGAAAAATGCAGCTGCGCAGGAGGTAATCTCTCCCTGTGGGTGCAAACTTGTTATGCATAATTTGCCATGAAAACATCTCCGATCCATACCGAAATAATAACAAATAGTTTTCAAACACGTTTTCTTACACGATTCAAGCAAAAGTTTCCACGGGAAATTGAGTTTTTCTTTATGGACCAATTTGTCCCAAAAAGCGTCTGTTTTACTTGGAAAATTTGAAAACTATCCTCCTTCTAGTAGTTCTTACTTCGAAATGTAGGTGGCGAAAGCTTGGAAAAGTTTCACTAAGACGCCAATAGAATAGATTGGATTCTGCAGAAATACGGATCCGTAGGAAAAAATTACAGAAGCTAAGACTTTTTTTGCTGGAATCAATTTTTTAAACGAGATAATGCATCACTAATTAGTGCCCTTTCTACCACCGCTCATCACTTTAATGTGTACACAGTAAAAAAATATAATATGTATCAATCAATGAAATTCATGGTGAAGTATTGAACATCAATAACTGGTAAAAGTTGATAGAATATTAAAGTCATCAACATGATTTGTTCTCGAATTATGTGTACATCGTACAGCGTAATATTTGGAACGGAATGACTAATGTGCAGCAATTTTTATGTAATATTCAACAACTTTTTTCTGTATTCGTCAGATGCGGTATGTGTCTCCAGTGGGATGCCTTGACCACTTATTCGAATTAAGTTCGAAATGTGGTGGCTTGCTCAATGCTAAAACATTATTTGCGATGAATGTGAGTGTTTAGTCTGTATTTATATCATGTGATTCGATTAAACAGTTCAGAAAACTAGGGGAAAGCAGAGCCAAACCATCAGATCCTATTTAGAGCTACGCACAATGCTTCCAGATCTGATTCATTGCGATAAATTAAACAGTTAGACAAAAGATTTAGCTGTCACTTTGCTGTGATGAATCAGATCCGGATACATTGTGCGTCGCTAAAGTGGATCACATGGTACTACCTGCGGTTGTATTAACAATTTTAAGAGTTTAAAATCAAGTAATGTATCAAAGAAGGTGGACAAAGTCTGTTAAATACGGAGGGTAAAAGCGAGGGGGCCGACTCTATCTAGGATGCAGAAAAGATTTTGTTTTGCTGTGGCTAGCTGCGCGCACGCTGAGTAAATAGAAAGAAGATTGATGGCGATTCTGTAGATTTCCTGTAAAAAGATGAAGATGAAGATTTTTCGAAGATTGATTCGCTAGTGTGAGATTTTTGAGCATCTAGAATTGAGATTTAGATGTGTCGCCCCCTCGGAGTTACCTCTATGGTACAACAGCGCGAGTAACGGAGCGTTAAATAGCGATGTATACGCTTGATCACCGTCCAACAAACAATTTGAGTTGATCAACAGCTGAATAAGCTATTTTTAAACTGAATAAGCTTATTTTTGTCTGAATAAGCTCTTATTCAACATTCAATGTTTGTTGGACGTCCTAGCATAGAGGTAACTCTAAGACTAGAAGGTCCCGAAATAACGTGCTCAACTTTTTGGCTCAGCTCTGGTACTCTCTTCGGTCCCAAGCTAATCGATTCACCCCTCGAAACATAGGAAAAACCAATAACCCCTCATTTTATCTGTCAAACTTTCATAGCGAATCAAAACAAACATTGCGTAGTACTAGAATTTCGACTAGAATGGGGTACGTTAATCGTTTGCTTGGGACCAATAGGCTAGTCAAGTAGTGAGCCAATTTAAAATCGTTAGTTTCGTATTGATTGTTGGTCCTAGTGCCAGCGTGGGACTCTAACCAGAGCTGTGCACGATGGTCCTCTGGCGAGAAAGGGGGTTGGGGCAGGCCCAACAAGCCGCTCTGGAAAAAACACAAAGTTGCAAATACTAAAGAAAGAAAATTGATCGGAACAATCCTCACAGACCTGGCGACATGAACGCTTCGGTTGGACGGGAGGCAAAGTATAGACCGACAATCGGGCCAAACAGCCTGCATGCCGTATCGAACGACAACGGCCAACGATGCGTGAACTATGCAGTCTCTCGGGGTATGGTAGTTCGAAGTACCTTTTACCCCCGCAAGGATATTCACAAAGCCACCTGGAGATCACCTGACCAACATACACCTGCACTACCCACGGAAGAGCAACTTGGCGCAGCTTCTTTTGAAGATGGCTGGAGGGACATTCTTTCCGTCATAGGTAGTACTGCTGCAGCGGCACTAGGTACTGCGATCCCGGACCGAAGAAAGGACTGGTTTGACGGTGAATGCAAACTGTTAGTAGAGGAGAAGAATGCAGCACGGGCGAGAATGCTGCAATACCGCACGAGATTGAATGTGGAGCAATACAGACAGCGCGGAACAGACAAAACTCGGTTTCCCGAAGGAAGATGCGTCAGCAGGAAGACCGAGATCGCGAGGCGATGGAAAATCTGTACCGCGTAAACGACACACGGAAGTTCTACGAGAAGCTAAATAGTTCGCGCAAAGGCTACGTGCCACAAGCCGATTTGTGCATGGACTTGGACGGTAACCTTCTCACGAACGAGTGTGAGGTGATTGAGAGGTGGAAGCAGTACTATGACGAGCACCTCAACGGTGAAGCAGCAGAAAACGAAGGTGGCACGGCAACAGACCTTGGAGTGCGCGCAGAAGACGACAGGCTACCGGCCCCTGATCTTCAAGAAGTTGAGGAGGAGATCGGTCGGCTGAAGAACAACAAAGCAACTGGTGTAGATCAACTATCAAGTGAGCTATTAAAATACGGTGGCGAAGCACTGGCTAGAGCACTGCACTGGGTAATTGCCAAGATTTGGGAGGAGGAGATATTACCGGAGGAAGCCCAAGTAACCAAAAGTTCTGATAAAAGGCCATTTGTGGCTTAAGCAGCTTAGTTGGTGATGGTCTTTAGAATTCTAAGCAGCCTCATTTTTAAGTCGTTATAAGAACTTGAAAGTTCCGGTATCATAATTAAAGAGTCCTCTACACCAAAATTCTATGTTTAGTTCGCAATTTTATGAAAGTTATTTCTAAAGGCACGGTATTAACAACAATCAATAGGAAACTAAAATTTTAAATTGGCTCACTACTTGACTAGCCTATTGATCCCAAGCAAATCGATTACGTACCCCATTCTAGTCAAAATTATAGTACTACACTATGTTTGTTTTGATTCGCTATGAAAGTTTGACACATAAAATGAGGGGTGAGTGGATTTTCCTAGGTTTCGAGGGGCGAATCGATTAGCTTGGGACTGAAGATAGTACCAGAGCTGAGCCAAAAAGTTGAGCACGTTTCTTCGGGACCTACTAGTCTTAGAGTTACCTCTATGGTATTAACAAAGACGAATACTAAGATGAAATAGGCGGAAGAAAAACTTTCTATTTTAGTGTCCTCTTTCAAGGTCCCTTTCATCCAATGAATACCCTCCGTATGCAAGGTAATTTTGTGGTTTTGGTGCCCCCTCGGTAGAGATAACATTTTGCGCTCTTTTTTATCAAAACAATCACACCAAAATCAGAGATGTCCCATTTTTTAAATTATTTGATTAACATCTAATCGATTATTTTTTGTTCGCTGTGCTGTCATTTTTCCACCAATGAGAGTGCAGCATATGTTTGAAACGATTGGTGATTATCATCTGAAGAAGTTAATGCTTATATTACCGATTACAAATATTTTACTTTATACACGAATACACGGGTTCGAATCCAGGAAATTACATTTTATTTTTTTTTAATGTTTGGATAGAATGTTGATGCACTGCATAAATATAAGAATTATGATTTATTCGGGCCACTGATCATTTAGTATTTACGTACATTAAATTTTGTTACTAACTAAGACTTGTGCGAATTGCTTCATGTGGCTTGAAGGTTCGGTCGGAACTTTATTTGAAGTTTATGGAACTTGAAGGTTCGGTCGGAACTTTATTTGAACTTTACAGAACTTGAAAGTGATTTTAATTGTTGAATGCGGAACTTTTGGTTACTTGGGAGGTGTCGTATACCCAATCTACAAAAAAGGGCGACAAGTTGGATTGCTGCAACTATCGCGCGATCACACTGCTGAGCACCGGTACTCTCTCAAATTCTATGCCGCCGCCTATCACCATTTGCAAGAGAGTTCGTGGGGCAATACCAGGCGGGATTCATGGGTGCCCGCGCTAACATGGAGCAAATTTTCGCGATTCAAAAGTTTCTGCAGAAATGCCTCGAATACAACGTGCCCACACATCATTTGTTCATCGATTTCAAATCCGACACAATCGATCGAGATCAGCTATGGCATATTATGCACGAGTACAGATTTCCGGATAAACTGACGCGATTGGTCAAGGGGACGGATGGATCGAGTGATGTGTGTTGTTCTAGTTGAATCTCGACGGGGGTTACGGTAAGGTGATGGACTTTCGTGTCTGCTATTCAACATCGCGTTAGAAGGTGTAATCAGAAGAGCAGGGACCCGAGTGGCACGATCTTCAGGAAGTCCATCCAGCTTCGCCAATGACATCGACATCATGGCACGGAACTTTGAGACGATGGCGGAAACGTACATCAGACTGAAGGCTGAAGCTAGGCGGATTGGACTTGCCATCAATGCATCAAAGACAAAATACATGAAAGAAAGAGGTTCTAGGGAAGACAATATTAGCCTCCCACCCCGAGTTCAGTGATGAAATCGATGTGGTCGATGAGTTCGTGTATTTGGGCTCACTGGTGACCGCCGAAAATGATACCAGCATAGAAATTCAAAGACGAATAATGGCTGGGAATCGTGCCTACTTTGGACTCCGGAGGACGCTCCGGTCGAAAAAAATTTGCCGCCACATGAAGTTTACTGTCTACAAGACGCTGATTAGACCGGTGGTCCTCTACGGTCACGAGACCTGGACTATGCTCGTGGAGGACCAACACGCCCTTGGTGTTTTCGAACGGAAGGTGATGCGTACCATCAACGGTGGACTGCAGATCGATGACGGAACGTGGAGGCAGTGCTGAGATTTGTCATTGTCATTGACAGACTTTTGCGCGATGTTGACAAAATTGTTTTCACATAGTCAATGATAGACTTGATCCTCAAAAAAATCTTTGTCAAAATCTCATTCATTTTTTCGTCAATAACAAAGATTCACCTGGTAACAGAAAGGGTAATTTCTTGCATTCTGAGACACATTATTGTTATCCAAGCTGTTCAGGCCGTAGATGCTTGTTCACTTTAATGGCTCCATGTAATTGTTTTCCTCAAGCCATTTAATTTCATTTTAAATTTAGCTAATAAACAAATCAGCACATGTTCGTCACTGACAAAAATGCCACTGACAATTGACATGGTTTGCCTTGACGATGACTGTTAGCTCAAACGAGTGACCAAAGCAGAATTTTGAGTATCACCGTGTATTGTCGAAATTGTGCAGCACTGCGTGGAGGAGGCGAATGAACCACGAATTGCAGCAGTTGCTGGGAGAACCATCCATCGGGAAGAACCATTCATCGTCCACATTGTAAAAATTTGGGCGACTACGGTGGGCTGGGCACGTCGTAAGAATGCCGGACGACGACACAGTGAAAAGGGTTCTAGAAAGCGACCCAACAGAAACAAGAAGATGAGGCGCACAGCGGGCAAAGTGGATTGACCAAGTAGAAGGCGACCTGCGGACCCTTCGCAGACTACGAAGCTGGCGAAGTGTGACCATGGATCGAGTAGAGTGGAGGCGACTTTTTCAGACAGAAGAGGACAACAAGGCCTTAACAAATTATTCCAATTGCTTAATTAATCAATGCTTAATTCACAGAACAGAAGGAGAAGTGCAAACAAATCGGTGAATCAAAAAGTGCTCATTTTTCTGCTTAACAAGCGATGTGTTGTGGTAGCGTTCCACACGGGCTTTCTATGTGCACTTACACTATCATAGCATCCTGCCTATCTTAACTGTAGGCAGAAGATGCCTTCTACCGCTAGGTGCGCTAGTGTTCGCAAATGACAAGTGGAGCCACTTTCGGATCCAAAGTTCCACTCCTGTGCTTAATTCCTAAATAAATAAATTCCGAAGCAAATCCCCAAATCAGTGAACATTTGAAAAGAAATTCAGAGGATAAATCTAAGGTTGTTCTAAAGCATACACCAATAAAATTTAGGACTATTCCAAAGGAATTTTAAAGATATCTCTTTAATAAAGAACTCAAAAAGATTTGTAGAGTGAATGCCTATTTTTTTCTGGATAAAACTTCACGAGTGTTCAATAGATAATTGCTGCATTGTGCGTAGAAGAAATATTAACATTAAATTTTGAGAAATCTGAAGTGATCTCTGACGAAATTCTGGGAATGAAAATTAAAATTATTGAGAAAATGCCAAGCAAATCCTGTAGAGTATTGTAAAATGAAAGCCAAGAATTTACTGGAAAGAAAGCCTATAGATTTCTGCGGAGAAATGCTGGAATTCAGTGAATAACATTTCAAAGGAATATTTGCAGGAATTGCTCCAAAAATCCCTTAAGTCATTAATTGATTAAATTTCATACCGTTATTCATGTGACAGAATTTTCTGGATAGTCTGCGTCATCGTATCCTGGTTCGGTTCGGCCCTGCTGATCAACGCCTCCCTGGAAGCATTCCGAACCAGTGCCATCTCGTTCGTGGTGGAAACGAACTACCGTGACTGGAACACCAAATTCCCGGCGATCGTAATATGTGAAATGCGTAACATGGAACGCATCCAGATGGTGGCCGATGAGTAAGTTTCACTTGTTGAGTAGATTCTTGATTTGTTTATGATAATGTATCTCATGAAACTGTTGAAGGTTATGGGGTGAAGATCACGACTTTGCAATGGAGGAAGTTCTCAACGAGATTGGATATTTCCGGGGGGAGTCGTACCACACTGTGAACGAGTGCAACGGTGATGAACCTGCGGAAAATTGCTTCTATTCCAACTTTTCCGACTATGCTCGCTTGGTACGGAGCACTTGCGAGGGCACGCTGGAGGAGTGCTACTGGAACGATAAGCCGTTCGATTGTTGCAAGTATTTTCAACCCATGGAAACGGAACTGGGATTATGCTATGCTGTGAACTCTGTGCAGACTAGTGCAAAAAATCCTATCAAGATTGATATGATTTCGAACAAGTACACGGGACCAGGCAAGCTGAAGGTTACATTGCTGACCGAGGCTTACGTTTACACGCTTGGGGAGGAAGATGTTCCCAATTTGATAACTCCCAAGTCGGAGGTTCTGTTGATTGATTACTACATCGCCTACAAGTAAGTTATGTTTGTTGATTGTTGTAAATACTCATTGAGTCGTTCATTTCAATCAGACGCCAAATTTCCGTCAAAGACATCGAAAACGATCCGGAAACGAAGCAGGTTAGCGTCGAGCAACGCAAATGTCGCTACCCCGATGAGAACATCTTGGACGTCCACGCGTACTACAGCTACAGTGCATGTTCCGTGCAATGCCGGAAGGATAAACAGCTGCAAATCTGTAATTGTACCAGCCACCTAATGCCGAACACAGGTGCCCCGTAGTTAAATTAAAAATCGCTTTAAATGTCAAATTACACCCATTGCGGAGAAATTTATTGATCGACATTAAAATTGAAATTGCTTTTCCTTCTCCCCGTTGCAGATCCCTCGCTCAAGTGCAACATGACCGGGCTGGTCTGTCTGAATGCACACTACGAGGAGCTGACCATCGTCATTCCCAAGTGGTCCACCGGGAAGCAGGGGGTCGTGTGCGACTGTCTGCCGTCCTGCACCGAGGTGGACATTGCGATCGTGCACGATTCGCGTGAAAGTGTCTACAACCCGGAAAATCGTTACTCGACGATCGAGATCGAACTGGCCGCGCTGCCGACCGAACGCTACAAGAGGAATGTGGTTCGCGGTCGGCTCGACCTGGTGGGTATGTGTCACCGCAGATCGTCGCGAGGAAAAATGGATTAATCTAATCTCTTGTGAATGTGACTTTTTATTTGCTCTGTACACGCAGTTTCTGTAGGTGGGACCACGGGGCTGTTCGTCGGGGCCAGTCTGCTTTCGTTCGTCGAGATTGTGTACTATTTTACGATCCGTCCCTACGGGACGGTTTTCATGAGGAAGTTCCGCGGCAAGCAACAAATTCGTTAGGGGTGCTAGACCTGAAACCGGAGACCTTGCTTAGTGTTGTTTTAGCATTTATTCGATGTACTTAGATACAATGTGTTAATGTTTCAAATAAATTTAATCCTCCGTAATCCTACACTGACCCAGAAGTCGTATTGAACTTGAACGAACATATGTTCGGGTACTGTTGCGTTCTGGTACACCGTATGTAGGGGAAGATGGCAACCCGGAGTAAGATGGTCACTAGACCGATTAAAATTTGAAAATTTCGCTTTACTGATCTACTGGTCCTGATAAGCCTTTAAAAATTTCAACTCATTTAGTAAGAAACTGACTTGCCACAAACCATTTGAAGTTCATACAGCTACAACTTTGCAGAAGATCGCTTTTCAGCTAAACGTTAAATTAAATAGTTATTAATTATTTTTAGAGACTGATAATCTTATGGTGCGTTCAAGTAGTTTTTTAGTGGGCAACACTGTATTCTTCAGTGTGACATATTAGCCTTGATTTTTTGATCTATTGTTTTGAGCTCACTGGTGTCGACGCATTATGGCAGCGAATTGTGCCACGAGACCTGGACTATGCTTGTTACCCGCGAGGCAATTAATTTAAAACCAAAACCATAAGATAACCACATAGGGTAAAGCGCTACTTCGTTGTAATCGCCTATTTCTGTTCTATCGATCAGAAAAGATCAATAATATCAATGACTTAACCGTGCACAAATCAATAGTAGGTTTGTTCCGATGTGATAGTTCATTAGCTACTACATAAATCATGTTAAAGCGCATTGCATGAATATTTAGGCTCATTGTTCTCAAAACAAAAGAAGCGCTCCAAGCTTATCCCCTTTTTCTACGTTTATCCGTAGGACGAAGAAAATGTAATGGCGTTTCAATGCGTCAGGAGGACGGAATTGAAACTCATAGCATGAATTTAGAATCAAGAAGCAAGATTAGATTTTAAACAATATCTCAACAATTTGTGACTCTTTATCAAAGGTGAATAAATTTAGAAGTCATCTTTGACAGAAATTATCATTTTTTTTGTTTCAACTCGTTCAGGAAAGAGAGGTAAAGCGCGGATTGTGCTTAGTAGGACGGAAATTAGATCAAAACCCCTAGTTGCATCTCGTTTCCATAGCCATACCTGACGTCTATACTAAGGCCAAGAAAATGAAATTAAAAGCAGGGAAAAAGGAACGAAGGCTCGTTTTACAAAATCTTACTACAGTATTTACTTGGGAATGTATGTATATGCGTTCAAGTAGGATAAACACGCCCATGCACGGCATGTTTGCGCATCTAGGTTAAGTTGAGCTTTCTTTCTCTGTTTACCCTTAACGAAGGATATAGTTATAATGTTTAAACGTTACAAATGTTCACATTCTTATTTGTAGGGCCATATCAGATCAGAGTTACAAAAAGAAAGAAATTTACAAAATAACCGAGAAATCCCAGATCTGAGAGGGCATAGTATAGAAGGTCTAAGCAAAACAAATTTACCCTTTCAAGGGCGATTGGAATCCTAGCTAATAGATTAGGAAAAATAAGGCAAAAGTCCGGTTGCTTAATCTCGAATGCAATGGGTCTTCAGTGCAGGCAGTCCAGTACGTTGGTACTGCCTACACATAGTGTTACGGAGTCTGATAATGATTTTAGTGGGACTATCAAGATTCAGAGTATTGCTCACCTGTCTGGAAACTGGCACCTGTTGTTTCCTGGCTCGGGATATCGCCTCCTCCAAGGAACGCAGGCATCGGTCAACTTCCTCGGGGGCGTCTGGATGTACTTCGTAGTCGACGGTGGTGTTGACACAGTGCTGGAACCGATCCCATTCAACACGATGGTAGTTTCGCGGTAGGATGCTTGAAATCTGTTAGCCGAGAGGCCTACTTCGGAGCTCAGCTCCTGGAATGCCACAGGTTGCGAGATGTTGTGTCGCTTGCTGCTTACAAAGATGTCGATGGTCGCATGAACCCCAGACGGACTCAACCGGGTGGGAGTGTCCGGGGCCAAGATGGTATAATGGCCCTCTTGCAGGTCTTCATTGAGGATGGTGCCGTTTCGATTGCTCCGACCGTTGCCCCAAGCTTGGTGTTTTGCGTTTAGGTCGCCAGCGATGATGAAGTTCCCGCTCCTTCGGGTGAGTTTGATGATGTTTTTCCGGAGGGCCACTGACGACCCGTGAGCCATAGCACACTTGTCGCAGCATGGTTTCATATGACAGTTCTTCGTGCCATGGCCCAAGGAGAGCCAGCTTATGCATTGGGTAACATCACGGTGTTGCGGTTTGTAGAATTCCCAGTCGATAATGACCTGAAACAGGTCACGTATGTTGCACTTCAGCGCAGCAAGGGTGGTGGAGCCCTTCAAGAAGTGAACCAGAAATTATTATTATTTTTTGTTTTGTTTATTAATTTATTTGATAAGGCTCAACCGAATTAACTTTACAGAGCCGAGGATTCTTGTTCACTATACAATACATCTTAAAACTATAGTCAAAAGGTACAACACAATAAACATTTTATGTTCCGCTATACAATAAGCCACCTCCATCAGAACGGGAGCCGCTTCCAGTGGTTTCATTGTATGGCAGGTTCGCCAACGGGGGTCAGTGCGCTTCCATTGCAGCAATGGACGCAAAACGTGATCAGCACTCACCCACTCATCACGAAACGGTTGCTTTCCAAAGTCGACGATGCATCGACTGAAAGAACTGCTGATGAAGTACAATGAGGAGGACCACACAATAGTTGCTGCCGGGTTAGGGCCCAACAAAGTCAGTTTCAATTGAAAATCGTCAAGCGACGACAAAGCTGTCACCCATCACTTTCAATTGAAAGTCATTCTGTCTTTTCTTCGACATCAACAGAACCTCTTTAGATCAGTTTTCATGCTGTTTGTATTGGCTTGACTCTTGTTCATTTCGTCTTCCATTGTCAAATGAGCTTACTTTTGCATTGAAGCGAAGCTATTCGATTAAAATTCGCACTGTTTTCCTGTTGAATTTATTATTGTCGGGTGGTTTGTTTACCCATCAATATGGGTATTTTTGAAATCGAGGTGACGTCTAGAGTTCGGAAAACGATATGTGACGCCATTTTAAAATTCAATATGGTGGCTTCCAGTTAAAAAAAAAGTGGGAAATACTGATGTCGACCCATCAATATGGGTATATGTGGAATCGGGGTGAAGTCTAGAGGTCGAAAGTTGATATGCGACGCCATTTTGAAATTCACGATGGAGGCTTCCACTTTAAGAAAAAGTTGGAAATAGTGCCAAATACCCATCAATATTGGTATTTTTGGAACTAGGATGCCGTCTAGAGAATGAAAATTTAATTCCAACACCATTTTGAAATCCAAGATGGTGGCTTCCTATTTCAGAAAAAGTGGGAAATAGTGCCAAATACCAAGGTTGCAAATACTCATTTCAGCTAAAACAATGTTTTTTTTTTAAATTATGGAATAATTAGATGCTATGATCATATTATGAACTGGTAAGATACAAGAAGAGGTTGCAAAGAATGTGTTTGGCATATTAAACCTGTTTATTTCACTTCATGAGAGTCACAATCAGCGATTTTTCACACTCACTCACTCACTCACTCACTCACTCACTCACTCACTCACTCACTCACTCACTCACTCACTCACTCACTCACTCACTCACTCACTCACTCACTCACTCACTCACTCACTCACTCACTCACTCACTCACTCACTCACTCAGCGATCAGAAAATCGCTGATTGTGACTCATAGAAAGCCAAATTTACAGGTTTTATGTTTCAAACACATACTTTACCCGTTACCCTCACAATCTTTTGGTTTTATTATTCCGAAAATCATTATTTTAGCTGAAATGAGTATTTGCAACCTTGCCAAATACCTATCAATATAGGTATTTTTAGAATTGGCATGTCATCTAGGGATTGGAAATAGATATGCGACACTATTTTAAAATTCCAAGAAGTGAGCTTCCGGTTCGAGAAAATGCAGATAATTCTGTCCAATACCCATCAATATGGGTATTTTTGGAATCAGGATGACGTCTAGAGAATAAAAATCGATATCCGCCGGCATTTTGAAATCCAAGATGGTGGCTTCCAATTTCAGAAATACAAAATGGGAAATACTGTCAAATACCCATCAACATGGGTATTTTTTAATCAGGGTTGCGTCTGGAGGCTGACAATCGATATCCTACGCCATTTTGAAATCCAAGCTGGTGGCTTCCGATTTCAGAAAAAGTGGATAATTCTGATGCCGACCCATCAATATAGGTATTTACGTCTAGATGCTGAAAATTGATATTCGACGTCATTTTGAAATCCAATATTGCGGCTTCCAGTTTAAGAAAAAGTGGGAAACATTATCAAATACCCATCAATAATGTGGGTATTTTCGATATCCCAGTACCGTCTAGAGGCCAGAAACCAATGTTTGACACCATTTCAAAATCTTACGTGGAGGGTTTGAGTCGGAAAAAGTGTGAAATACTGTCAAATACCAATCAATGTGATTATTTTTGGAATCGGGATGACACCTAGAGGCCAGAAATCGATGTCCAACGCCATCTTGAAATTCAAGATGGTGGCTTCCGATTTCAGAAGAAGCCCTACAAATGGCCTTGCATATTGATTTTCAGCTTCTACGCGTTGTCTCTTTTCCTAAAATACCCATATCTTAGGGTATTTGATACTTTTTCGGAAACCCGATGACCACCATCTTGGATTACAAAATGGCATCGAATATCGATTTTTGGCATCAAAATACCCGTATCTTATGGTAGTTGACACTTTTTCTGAGCCGGACATCGTTTTTTATGCACCTTCGCGTCGTCCCCGTTCCGAAAATACCGATATTGTAGTGTATTTGAGACTTTTCCTGAGCACGATGGTAGCTATCTTGGACTCCAGAACATCCGGACTACATATAATCCGGATGCCATCCCTATCGGCACCCGATATTGTGCGGATACTATATTTTCATGCCTGAAGACGCGACGCGTGACAAAT